TATACTAACAATCTTATCTACCTTATTTACAAAACTTTTTGTTTTCTTTCTATTAGTTTGATTAAAAGTACATGGTTCTGTCTTTCTATCTTTTTTCTAACTATTATATATATTATCTCTTCGATTATTCTATATATAGGATTAGAGTATGTCTGAATGACGTGTAAAAGCCGATGTAATAGACGTTACTTTGTTAATTTTTTATTGTTATTAATTATAATTATATAATTAACTAGAGGATGTTTTAGAAGTAAAGAATTTTTTTTTTTTCTCTATCTATACTAAATAATAACAATTAACAAATTTATAATTTGAATTTAAATAATCAAACTAATGAAGATAATTTTAATAGAATACTTAACTATAAAACTATACAACTATTTATTTTTATAATTAATTTAGATTTAGCTTGCTAATCTAACCAAATCTACTTGATATGATTTATCATTCTGATCAGATTGCTCCTTAAGTTTTAAATGTAGTATCACTGTTATATTTTTATTATATAGTTTTTACACTATATTAATTCATATGAGCTTGCTCTATGATATATTTTTATATATAATATAATATACAAATTTAAATATATATTAGATATTCTAATATAAATAAAACTCCATACAGATTATAATTATCTTTTATTGTTTGATTATGAAAAAGTAAATTATAATAATAATTTTAAAAAAATAACTTCAGAACTTTTGTTTTTTTCATTGTTTAGATAGTTTAAAGATGTTTTTTATTAGTTATTCTTAAAAAATATAACAGATAACAAACAGTAATATCTATATTTTTATAGATTAATTATTCATTTTATTACAAATTTAATTACCACAAAAACAATTAAGATAAATATATTAATAAAAAAAAAAAATTTTTCTCAATAGAATAACAAACTAAAAAACTAAAAAAAACTACCAGCATATTAGGGTTAGCACCTCTTTTATGTTAATTCAAACTCGCTAAGAATTGCCTAAGAAAGAATTGTCAAACTTGTCCCTCTCTTAAGAACCATGATACATTTCAAACGACTAGTTGTAAATTAGTAAATACTATTTATAAATTAACATGCCAAATTTGTCAATTATCATATATAGGACAAACATGTAATCCATTAAATATACGAATAAACCTACATAGAAACCACGCTAAAAAATCAATTGGTAATATATATATGAAAGAACACAATAAATTACATACTTTTAACAACTTTAAGATAGAAATACTAGACATATGTCAAAACAAAAAACAACGACTATTATTAGAAAACAACTACATTTATAAACACAACACATTATTCCCTTATGGACTTAATGACGAATTAAACTACACATACAAACCACAAACAGAAGAAATTTCAACTTATGAAATCAGCTGCAAATACAAAAAAAATGAATTCAAAACTAAACCTAATAAAACTAGAGGTAAAACTACCAATAAATTAGGTTACATTGAATTTGAAGAATTACTGGACCCAAAACAAATGTACACTAACAACTTCGTCGATAAATTTATTAAAACATTATTTAAACTAAATAATAATAAATTTATCAAACTTATAGAATATATTAAAATTCATAATCTAACTAACAGATTAATAGATATCACACACGACATCTTTAAATACAGAAAAATTAAACAATCTACTAATAACATTAATATTATCATTAAATTTAATAACAATTTATTTAATCATATTAAGTTTAATGATATTTTTAATAACCAAAACATTAATAATCTTTTCCCTATAAAAAATTTAAATTTCAAAACAATCTGGAGATACAACAAAAATATAGGTAATTTAGTTTGCAATTATAACCAATTTATTAATAATTTGGCAAATTATAAAAAAATTAAATGTAATTGCAACAACTATATTGATAAATATAAGTTTTCAGGTCATATATTAACTAGCAATTTTTCTTTTTTAAATCCAGAATATCAGGATATTTTAAATAAAGGGTATAAATATATACCTCAAATTAAACACAATTATAATAATACAATTAAATCTATATTAAAAGATATAGATATTTTCATAAATAAAACTAGTATAAAATACAGTATTCCAGAATTTACTTTTCTGGAATGGAAACATAATATTAAAAAGGAGGTTATAAATTATTATAATAATACACTTAAATACACAAAACCTAATTCAGATATTCCTTCTTTTAAAGAAAATATAATTAATTTACAGAAGGACTTTATTATCACTCCTATAGATAAATGTTCCAATAACTTATCTATAATTTGTAAAAATCTATACCACGATATACTAAAAAAGGAAATTGATAATAATCATAAATACACTTTTGCTAGAACTACAGCCACAAAAATCAAAAAAGACATCAAAAATGTTGAAAATTCACTAAAAATTTATAATCACTACAAAAATCCAAACATACCAAAGTTCTATATAATTCCTAAACTACACAAAAAACCTATTTCTTTCAGAACAATCACATCTGGTATAAATTCAGTTATAAAAAACATTGATATACAATTAGCTTCAACACTACAATTTATTATAAATAAATTAACTAATAAATATAATTATAAATTTATCGACTCAAATAAAAAAATCATTAACTATTTAATGAACAATTGGACAAACATGGAAACAGTACACACATTTGACTTTGAGGACCTATATTCTAAAATAAATTTAAGAGATCTAAATAATAAAATAACCAATTTATTTAACGAAATCATTAATGACAAAACTTTCCACATTAAAATTATTCATAACAGATATAAAACAATTAAATTAGATCTTAAAACAGCAAAAACTCTACTGGAAACATTTTTAAATTTTAACTATATAGAATTTAAAAATAAAATATATATTCAATCAGAAGGAGTTCCCATGGGAACGTCTTCTAGTCCGTTATTAGCAAACTTAATATTATTCTGGTACGAAAGAGAATACTTTCTACAAAATAATGTTAACTGGCAAATGTTCCGTTATGTAGATGACATTATAATATTTAATAATCCACAGTTCAAAAATTTAATACCTAAAATTTATCCTAAATACTTGAAACTTAAAAACAATGAAAAAATTTATAGAAACAAAAAAGTTAACTTTTTAGACCTAAATATAGACCTTACAAATAATGCTATTAAAATTTATAATAAAAAAAGTAATTATAATTTCAATATTATAAAATACTGTAATATGAATTCTAATATTTCATTAAATTGCTGTAAAGGTATATATTTTGGTCAGTTTCTAAGATTTTATAGAATAAATAATATATTAGAAAATTTCATAGAAGATGTTAATAATTTAAACATGGAATTTATTAAAAACAAATTTAGTATCAGACAAGTAAAATATTTCAACAGTATATCAATTATAAAATACTTAAAAAAAAATAAATGGAAGTATCCATTTATTAAATCAACTTTCTATAATTTCTTTCAATAATCAATACTACAAATTTATAATCTTCAACAATTAGTTAAACTTAAATTAAATAGCTGATTTGAAGATTTTTTCACAAGATTTTTAAAGTAATATTATATATAATTCATTTTGTTTAATCTCCAATTTCTGGGGAGGAAAATGGAAATTAAATAAAAGTGAATTTTCACAATTAATAGCTTTATTAAACTCTAATAATTTGCCTTTTTAAAGGAATATTGAAAGATGAATAAGTTTTGAATCAATTATTTTAATTTTTAACTGACTGTAAAGATTATAAAATTTGGATTTCTTCCCTTAACTATCTTATCTTTATTCTTTGAATGTCTTGTTCTCCCACAATTCGGTCTAAATTTGTCCCCACCCCCCCACAACATGTGTTATCCAGAAATAGTTGTTTACAGTTGAAGGCGTTCGCGGACAAGGTAGGTACACATTATATCTGTTCATATAATGTTTCACTGTAGTAACTTTATATTAACACATAAATACGGTTGAAAGGAGGTCTAGACATAATAGAGAAGGGATGAAATGTTGAAAAGCTGAATTTCTATTTGAGAAGTCCCGGTTCAGCAGACCTCTTTTTTCAATAATTACTCCAATTTAAGTTTTTTGTATATGTCTGGTCTACCATTAGGGTTTCAAAACATAATAACCAAACTTATAATAAAAGTTAATTCATATTATAGATATTTTACTAAATACAACTTTTTATATTCATATTTTAAAATAAAAAAATTTAAAAAATCTTTTAAAAAAAAAAAACGAATAAAATATAAAATTATAAAAATATATATATATATACTAACAATCTTATCTACCTTATTTACAAAACTTTTTGTTTTCTTTCTATTAGTTTGATTAAAAGTACATGGTTCTGTCTTTCTATCTTTTTTCTAACTATTATATATATTATCTCTTCGATTATTCTATATATAGGATTAGAGTATGTCTGAATGACGTGTAAAAGCCGATGTAATAGACGTTACTTTGTTAATTTTTTATTGTTATTAATTATAATTATATAATTAACTAGAGGATGTTTTAGAAGTAAAGAATTTTTTTTTTTTTTTCTCTATCTATACTAAATAATAACAATTAACAAATTTATAATTTGAATTTAAATAATCAAACTAATGAAGATAATTTTAATAGAATACTTAACTATAAAACTATACAACTATTTATTTTTATAATTAATTTAGATTTAGCTTGCTAATCTAACCAAATCTACTTGATATGATTTATCATTCTGATCAGATTGCTCCTTAAGTTTTAAATGTAGTATCACTGTTATATTTTTATTATATAGTTTTTACTCTATATATATATATATATATATATATATAAAAGTCAATTTCTGTCTGTCTGTCTGTTTCGCGATAAACTCAAAAACTACTGAACCAATTGGTACCAAATTTTGCATGTCGCTTTTTATAAACCTGAGGAAAATTTTCGGCTGCATTTTGATTAGTATTTTTGGCTATTTCTTTTTTTTCATTTGAAGAACTTTTTTTACGCGGACTAATCCGGAATGGAATGAATACCTAAATATGGCCATTTTTTTAAAGCATCGGTGGTTCAGTGGTAGAATGCTCGCCTGCCACGCGGGCGGCCAGGGTTCGATTCCCGGCCGACGCATTTTTTTTTAACAATTTTTAAAACTCATTTATATTATATCTTCTTCTATATATATAAAAATGAATGTTTGTATGTTTGTTTGTTGGTTTGTATGTCCGGTATACAAATTCGCAGTAGTTCACTAATTCAAACCAAAATTTCCATACATAGGTAAAAAAAATACGGGGAAGACGATAGGCTATTTTAAAAAATATATAAATCAATTATTAAAAACTATATATTATTAGCCAGAAAATGATGATGACGATATTGCTGTATCATGTAAGATTATCAGATACAAAATTATATCGGGAAAAATTCCAAAAAGCAGAGACCAGCTCATTATTTTGTACGCAGGAACAAAATTCTAACAGAAAAACATTCATTCGAGCAGAAAACAAAAGCCAGATCATCTTTCTATAAAAATATCGCTTCTCAGACACAAAGTTTGGAGCGGGACGTTTCACAAGAGTGACATCCACACGCCGCCAATTTATAATTGTAACGAATAGTATTTAAATAAAAACATTTAATCGGGTAAAACCCGGGCGTTGCCCGGGTCATTCGGCTATTTTAATAATATAAATGAGTTTTAAAAATTGTAAAAAAAAAAAATGCATCGGCCGGGAATCGAACCCGGGGCGCCCGCGTGGCAGGCGAGCATTCTACCACTGAACCAAAAGCAAACGATGACAGAATTAAGAAAGAATGCATTAGGCTGATAACTGTATATATTAATATTGAATATATAAATATATGCATGATGATATTGAAATCAGATTACTGAATTATAACAGATGATTCATTATATTTATCGAATTTTGACAGATTTTTACTTGTAATTCCAAAAGGTTTTAAATTGGAACCTGATAATTCGGATTTCTTACTCGTTTGGGGTCTTGAACAATCATTGAAAAATTAAATTTGTAACTCCCAACAGTTTCCGACTTTGTCCACACATAAGATTTAAAAATAAATATATTCCCGGCCACTACGACAATCTTGAAGACTGAAAATTTGTAAACTTACATTGATCATTAACTGAGCGATTTTTAAAAGTTTCATACTTCTATGTGATCTGGAGAGAGAAGCATATTAAATTAAATTTAAAAATTTTGAAGGCAATTTGGAAATTTGTCTGTTTCTTGCCATTGTGACAACCTAAAGTCTGAAAATTTGTTAACTTGCGGTGTCATCGGGTTCTAACAAGTGGACAGAATTTCAGAATTCTACGTGCTCTATAAGTTTATTAAAATCGATTACAAGATTTATGCACAGACACATGGCAGCAAGTTAAATAATAGCTTTTTTTAAATATAGAATACCGCCTGATGTAGCCAAAAATGCAATAAACTTGAATTTGCTCTACTAAGAAATGAAAAACTTGTGCAGTGAAAAATTCCAAAACATGATCTCTGAAAATATGCAAGCCATATCATTGCATTACACTATGTAATGTACTCTGTACAAACTGAGGATAATAAAATAAAATTGTGTAATAGAAGAAGAGTTGAGTTAAATAGCAGAAAGTGAGATATAGAAGTCCAACAACGTTTAAGAACGAGACTTAAAGATGTAGGAAATTTACAGAAAGTCTTCAAGAGAGTAGAATGACCTCTCTTTACATGATTCAACTCAATATTGCATCAGACAAAGGCTCAGTACTTCTGAATCTGCCTCTTTATAAAGCCATAAAATCCCGGAAATGCAGAGCCACTTCCAAGTCCGCGGGAGCGTATGATAGTCCGGTCACCCCCTTGATCATGCCACATACTCGTAAGACAAGTAAGAAATCCTTTCAATCTTAATCCTCTCCATCTCTTGCTCCTAGCCCAACTCTTTCCGTTCTCGGAACTTTCCTAGTAAGACTCTGTTCCTTCGTTTTATTGTGTGACAATCCCAAGTCTTCCATTCTACCTCGACCACGACTGTCTGTACTCTGTGAGAGCTGTGAAAGGTCCTCCAAGGTGCAGAGAAGTTTTGGAAAACTCTACACACCCTGACTGTCCCTCTCGGTTACCACAGGAGTGAGCGAGAGTCGACAGAATTGAGCCCTCTTGGTTACTACATTCATATATGGTGGTGGTACAGCCTGCTCCACGCTGACGAGGGCTAACAGCCCGAAACGCGTTCGTGGATGGCTTTTCTTGATATATCAGGAAAATGGGTTTGCTAAATATCAGGGAACAGGCTAAATCAACGTTTAGTTGATTTCTGTTCGACTAGATGGCGCTCTGCCATTTAAAAGGTCAGGATATGCCTTCTTTAATTTTAATATCAATACTTGACCTTTTAATTTATTTATTTTTCTATTATTTTTTCACACATACATATATATAGTGGTCTTCCTCCATCACACATGACACACTTTGTTGTCAAGAAGCTGTTCAGTTCACCACGCCTGAAACCCTGTCAGTTGAATCATTGAGTTACTCTCCCTTTGTGTTTTTCTGTGATATTCCACAACAATTTTTTGAAATAAGAAAGTTATATATAAAGCAACACTTAAAGTTTCACCGCATAATTTTCTTTTCTGTGAAAAATCAATATTTATTTCAAAGAGAAATATTTACTATTTCTAACTTTTTTGGATGAAGTATGAAAGGGTGAAAATATGAAGAGTAATGGCGAACTGAAAAATAAAAGTGTCCAGGGGCGGGAATCGAACCCACAACCTTCCGCTTACCGGGCAGATGCCATGTCCACTAGGCTACCCTGGACGTATTATTCCGTTCGTAAATAATACTTAAAGTAACTTATAATACATTATAAAGGACTTTACAGAAAAGAAACTTATGCGGTGAAACTTTGAGTGTTGCTTTATAATCATACGCCGCAGTCCTTTATAATGTATTATAAGTTACTTTAAGTATTATTTACGAACGGATTAATACGTCCAGGGTAGCCTAGTGGACATGGCATCTGCCCGGTAAGCGGAAGGTTGTGGGTTCGATTCCCGCCCCTGGACACTTTTATTTTCAGTTCGCCATTACTCTTCATATTTTCACCCTTTCATACTTCATCCAAAAAAGTTAGAAATAGTAAATATTTCTCTTTGAAATAAATATTGATTTTTCACAGAAAAGAAACTTATGCGGTGAAACTTTAAGTGTTGCTTTATAATCATACGCCGCAGTCCTTTATAATGTATTAAAAGTTATATATATTACTAGCGGATGTACCCGGCTTCGCCCGGGTTTTACTCGAGTAAAGGTTTGTCTAACGAGCATTTGTTAGAACAATTCTCTGTAAACTTATTTAAAAAAAAATAATAGATATATTTTGATAATTTGAAACTCGTAAATTTGAATCTCTCGATAAAGTGAACATTTTTTCCGGTCCCTTGAAAAATACTCGATAAGTTGAATAAAATCAATATTAATTGGTTTCCTCGGTAATTGGAAGTTAAAGGAATAGTATCTTGCCTTGGAATTGTATCATTATTCTTGTCTCAAATAAATTGCCGTGTCATCCTGAATTTTGTCTTTCCTAATTTTCTACATTACAAAATGATCATTTTATCTATTCTCCCAATATATATGTTGTAGATAAATGATAAAACTAACTTTGACTTGTGCGAAATTAATAGGTAGAAAATCTTACTTTTGATAAATAATCCTTAAGATAATAAACTTAGTGATAATAAAACTTATAGATAAAAAACTTGTTATCATCGTCGCAATGGGGGCGCTGCTTGCGAGTTAAAACTACAAATCTGCAAATAACTCTACGGATATTCAAGATATTCAAGAAATTATTTTTCAAAAACCTTCCCGGGGATATACCTAATAATATCCCAAAATTTCACGGCGATTGGATGTATGGTTTTTGAATCTATAGAGTACAGACAGAGAGACATTCAATTTTATATATATATAGATTTTACAAATTTCTCGCAAGAGAATAGGTATACAAGATCTAAAGGTCTTAATAAAGGTGTTGATTAATTAATATTATATGAATTTTGTTGACGAACCCGACTTCACGAGTAAAGAAAAAAAAATATATGGTTACCCGAAAGAGTAACGCTATTTGTAGAGGACTTACGAGGAGCTTATGGATTTTGGAATAACTCGATTGAGAATATAATGAACAACATGGTTAATCAGATCAAAAGCGCAATGGTACAAAATGGTGTGCAAATTGAAATAAAAGCGAATAACTCACTGTCGAAGCCTTGGTTTGATCATGAGTGCTACATAGCGAAAAAGTTTATGAAAGCAATTCTGACAAAATTTATTAAATCTAATAGGGATCTAGATCGTTTGAAATACACTGCGTGACATTGAAAATGGAACACCAAGAAATAGTGGCCAGAAAGTGATGAAACTCGGCAGACAGAGAGAGACAGGGACGAACAATAAGTGATCTTTATTTCAAAATGATAGTCATAATACAGAGCGAGAACGGCGTCGGCTTAGTAGCAAGTAGGACCACCGCGGACGGCGATGCACGCAGCAACACGTCTAGGTAGAGAGTCAATCAGAGTACGGATGGCGTCCTGAGGGATGGCTCTCCATTCCCTCTCAACCATTTGCCACAGTTCGTCTTCTGAACGCGGCTGTAGCAAGGCATGCAAACGGCGTCCAATGATGTCCCAGACGTGCTCGATTGGTGAGAGATCAGGAGAGTACGGTGGCCAGGGAAGCATCTGTACATCTTGCAGAGCTTGTTGGCTAATGCGAGCAGTGTGCGGTCGGGCGTTATCCTGCTGATAAAGGGCATTGGGTACCCCCTGAAGGTAGGGGAGTGTCACCGGTCGCAGCACATCATCAACGTATCGTTGGGCCGTCATAGTGCCCTGAATACGAAGTAAAGGTGACCTGGAATCATACGCGATTGCGCCCCAAACCATGATTCCACGTTGTCGCACGGTGGGGCGTTCCACAATTGCTGCCGGATTGGACCTTTCTCCACGTCGACGCCACACGCGTACACGGCGACTATCACTGGACAAGCAGAAACGCGACTCATCTGAGAACACGACCCTGTGCCATTCCGTCATCCACGTCGAAATATCC